CCCCGCTGGGCACGCTGCCGGGCCGCCAGGAGCAGCGCCATTGGGGACCCCCGCTCCACACGCTCGCCCGTCACGGGGTGGATCAGCACCTCCTCTTGCCCTGCTCCCGAGGCGCCCGGCGGGCTCCTGGCCAAGCTTGTGGGGCAGGGTGGTTCGGCCGAGCTCGAGGTGCAGGGTGGTTTGGCTGAACTGGCCCCAGCTCGGTGCACTTTGTACTGGAAGATGGCTGCATTGGGCTCCGGTGCTGGGCTCTGTGCAGGAGAAATGGGGGGCAAGGGGGAGGTGGGAGCAGGGGGCTCCTCCACTGGTCCCTGAGGTGGGTCTGGGGGGCTCACACTGCTGTTGAGGGACCTGGGAGCAGGGGTCAAGTTCTCTGTGGCCTTGCTAGCAGCAGGAGTGGGATGGTCCTCGTGCCCCGTCTCATCTTTCTCCACTGCAGCCACTGGTGCTGGGAGTGAGCTTGGGGCCAGTTTCAGCAGCACCGAGTCACCTGGGTCAGGAGGGCTCTTCCTCGGGTCAGGGGGACTCTTCCTCATACATGGGGTGCTGCTGCCATCCTCGGTGCCCTGCTTCTGGCTGCTGAGCCCCAGAGCAGGTTTCCCTTCTTTCTTCAGGGAAAGCACAGCCTCCAGCTCGTTCCTGATTTTCATCACGCTGTGGGTCTGCGTGGCAGGGTTGCTCTCCGGAGCGGGGAGCACCATGCTGGGAGAGCCCCCTTTGGCACTGGGGGGGCTGCTGGGCACCTCTTTCTTCTCGGTCTCTCCTCCTGTGGGTAACCATGCATCCTTCCCAGCAGGTCCAGCAAGTTGGGGCCCATTGAGACTGGGCCTATGGCTGCCGGCATGGTCAGTACCACCATCCGTGGGCTGGGGAGCAGCCGGCTTCTCCGGCAGCCTCTCCTCCCTCCGTGGGGAGCGCAGGAGGGCCGAGAGCTCATGCCGCAGCCTGTTCAGATTGCTGGCGTCCCTCCAGTCGTCCTCGCAGGTCGGGTAGTCTGGAGGGGGAAGGTCCAGGTCGTTCGCAGAGAGAGATTCGGATTTTGGAGGAGAGTCTCTCTCGGCTGTTTTCAGCTGGGGAACCTTCTCCATCTCGGAGCCTGGCAGCGGGGACCGGCGACCATCAGGATTCGTCCCTTGGCCGAACCCTGGACCCGGCTTGGGGCTCAGCGGCAGGGGGCTCGGCACAGCCGGCTTCGCAACAGCCTGTCTCAGTGGGGAATTTCTTTGCTTGGCTTCTCCTCCCATGTGAGCCTTGGCTGCGGGTCTTATGGTGAAGCAGGGCGGGAGGGGAGGCCGGGCGTGAGGCTGCCTGGGGAAGGGCTCCTGTCGGACAGGCTGACTGTCCTGCACGGGGATGGAGGAGGATCGGGCTGGGGCCGGTGGGGGCACCTTGAAGGACCTGGGGAAGGTCAGGTGGGGCTCAGGGCAGTGCTTGGGTTGCAGGCTCTCCTTTGGGCCGGGGGCAGCCGGCACCCCATCCTCGGCAGGGTGGAGCGGCCCCTCAGCGTCTGCCTGCCTAGTGTTCAGCACCGTTTCAGATTTCCACTTGGAGATGCCAGTGGTGAAGGGCACCGAGGCCTGGCTGAGCGGCGAGGCACCCAGCGGGGCTGGTGGGATGAAGTCTGGAGGAGCTGGTGTGCTGGGGGAGGACAGGGCAGAGGCTGGAGGTGGTGGAGGTGCCATGGCAGGAGGTGGTGGTACCATCTCAGGTGGTGGTGGAGGCAGCATTTCAGGTGGTGGAGGGACCGGCGAGTCTGGAGGTGGTGGCACAGGTGCCAGTGCCGTTGGAGGGGGTGGCGGGGGTACCGATGGCGGTGGAGGGATGTCTTCATCTAGGTCGTCCCCCTTGAGAGCCTGTGGGCGCAGGTCCCCCACCGAGCTGTACATTCGGTAGTTCCCATTGATCTGGGAGCCAGAGCCTGCAAGGAAGAGTGAGAGCATGGTGGTGTGAGCACCTTCTCAGTCAGCACCGTGGTGGCCAGCATCGCCCCTGGCCAGCTGTCCTCCTGGGAAGCCAGTTTATTTTCCTCAGCAGCTGTCTAAAGCTTGCTGAACTGTAACAGCCACTGTGCCTCACCCCTTAGAAATTCATTCATTTTCAATTACTTCAAAAAATAATAGTAGACTCTATTTTAGCGTGAAAAATCTCATGATCAGACTGTCTGCTCCAGAGCTTGATACACACATGCTTCCTTCCCAGAGGGCACGGTACTGCTGAGTGCTTAGCAGCAGTCAAGGACTCAGCAGAGAAGATCCCTTACCAAGAGCTGCTTTTTCCTCGAAGTCTTCTGGCACCGACGGTGTTGGCACAGCCACCCCATGAGATTCTTGGGCATTCTGCAACAGTTGAGAAAACAGAGCCGTTAGTTTTACGCCCAGGGTATCAGAGCAAAGCGCTGACAAGCAGGCCCTAGCCTGTATAGCTGGTAATTTGTCTACACAACCAGGGGCCTGATGGGATCCAGGGCGTTTCTGAGACATGGAGGTCCCTGCGGTAGCTGCTGTTGACAGGGTTTAAGGGGACGAGTGAAGTGATCAAGGTTGCACAAGCCACGGACACAATTCCCCTGTGCTAGTCAGGTGCAGAGGGGCTGGAGAGGATCACAGCTATTTCACATCCAAGCTGAGGGCCCCCCAGCCCAAGATCAGCAGCACTAGTTTCTCACCATTCATGTACCAAGCAAATTCAATAGCTCCCGCTGGTTTTGTGGGTATTGCTCTCCAGCAAGCGCTGCCAGCCCATGCTGCAGTCACGTACACATCCCACTGAAGTCACAGACAGACTTCCAGCTTTTTGGGAAACTGGCACCAGCATATCTGAACAGTCTGGGGAAAACTGCTACTTGTGTGGCTTGTGTTTCACCCTCAATTACTCCCTTTGCATTCATGCTGAAAACTCAGCAGTGCATTTAGCTGGTACAGGACCATGCAATTTAGCAGCCTACACATTTGCGAGGATGCTTACAGCTAGGACACTTTGGATAATTACAGCCACCCACTGTGAGATATTCATGGCACGTTGACTCACCTGGAGTGCTGACCAGGGCTCCTGCCTCCTACACCTGCCAGAAGCAGAAAGCCTCTCCTTTTCTCCACTGACTCACTGCTAAGATCGCTCTGCAGAGGGACTGGAGTTGCTCAGGAAACGTACACTAACGCACCCATGTCCAAAACACAAACTGATGCTGAGTCAGCCTGTCAGCACAGACGTAAGTGGCTGAAGCAGCAGATTGGGCTTTCACATACCAGCCTTGGGAGAGACCCATAGCAAGGAAATAACACGTGAGCAGCAGGAGCTCACAGACCCATGGGCAGCAGTCAGGGACATACCGCCCCATTCCCAGGCTGCAGGGTCCACCCTGTTGCACTCCTACTCACCCCAGGCAGCTGTTTGCATTAGCTGTTAACAGCCCCTTGTGCAAAGGAAACGTTATCCTACCATCAGTCTGCACCGCTCAGTGCAGTAGTTTTCTGCATACAAAAGCCTAGATAATGATTGAGCCCGGTGCCCTTTGCCTTTCACTGGCATTATCACTATTTTTACAAGAGATTGCTATAGGATTCCAAAGTCTCCTTGACCAAAGGTCAAGCTGGGTTTATACAGCCAGCCCCATCCAGGGCTCAGACAACACATTAACACTACACACCGCCCTGGGTGTAGGGAGTTCAGGAACACAGGAGCTGCTGGGGCAGAGCTGACTTCAACACCAGCAGCCTAGGCTCCTTCAGAAGAGCCCTGGAATCCCCCAGCTTTTGACAAAGTAATAAGAAAATACACGCTTCGCTTGCAAGCCCATCACCCTGCAGATGACCAAAGATCCTCTATAACCACAAGGGAATGAGCCAGCTATTGGTGAGCCAGGAGAGAGTGAGTGGGAATTCACAGTCCTGGGATTGCACAACTGATCAGACAACTTGGTGCTGATGGAGAAGCCAAGGTCTGCTAAGGCATTAGGACAGATTTGTTAGTGGCAAAACATCAGACCAGGTTAGCCTTATAGCCTCATCTAAGACCTCTTTATTGGTCCCAAAGATACAGTACAATGCAGAGGAAAGATCCTTAACTTCATCTGAAAGCCAGAGAGAAGACAAAGGTTAACAGAGGCACTTCAAGAACCGATAATGAAATTGTCCAGAGCAATGAGATACAAAAAACCACACAGAAAAAAACCCCAGCAGTTCTCATTTGCTATGGAATTCATTGCTGCCAGGCTCCAGAGCACAGCGAGGATACCTGCTCATTTACAGGGAAACAAAGATGTCTGGGCACTGAATTAAAAGCAACATATGCATCACATGTTTGGATAAGATTAGAAAGGGAATGGCAGTCAGAAGAGATCTATGCAAAGCTGGAGGAAACAGAGTCCACATTTCATAAATGAGTAGTAATTTTGGACATGTCATTTCAGTAGGTCCTAAAAACTGGGCAAGCCTGTTTCACACCAAAAATTTCTGTTGCAGTTGCTAATGCTCAGCATCTCTCTCAAAAAACCACCCATCCTCACGTCATGAGCTGGCTTCTAAAATGGAAAGCATCTCCAGTACGCTGCCAGTCTCCAGAGATGACTAGAAAGGTTGTTTCCCTCTCCTGTGTTTGCTAGGGGTGTGACCAGCCCAGCAGACCTCCACCTGATTCAGAGCAGGCTGCTGCGCTCGGGGTGGTGTGCCAGGAACCTGCATTTCCAGTCTGTGGTACCTGAATCAGATTTATGTGTGCCGAGGATCCCGTTGAGGGGAGCTTTCACTGTAACCACGAGGAATTGCTTTTCAGTGCTGGAACAGAGTTAGATATCCCCTGTCCCCAGTGAAGGGGAGCCTGCCTGTCCGCACGTTCCCCAGCTCCCCTGGTCTCTCAGGAGCCCATGCTTCCCACCCATTAAATGAACTGGGTGCGAGGCTGCCTGTTATAAAAAAACCACACCAAAATACAACTGCTTAGCATCCTGGGGTCTCAGAGAGGCCAAGGATTTCTCCAAATATGAAGAGCTACTCCCAAACTCCTTGTTTTGAAGCAGAGCTAGGGAAGTTTGGTGGTTAACTGAAGGAATTTATTCCCCCAGGATGCCAAAGCTCTGCCTGCAGTTGCGGTGCCTGGGAAGCCGGGTGGGCAGGGGGACGTGGTGGTACGCAAGAGGCAGGCAGTGAAGCCCCCTCTCCTGTAATCCCTGCTGCAACTCATCTCACTGCGCAGCACGGCACGGCCAAGGGCCAGGCAGTTCAGGGGGGAAGGAAGCTGCTCCGTGCAGGGAGAGCTGCCAGGTGCACAAGCACACGAAGCCCGGCGGGCCCGGCTGCCAGGCAGGGTGTGTGTGCATCCTCCTGACTCACAGCGACGCAGGCGGCTGCTTCTCAGCCTCCCCCTGCGCAGGAGAACGGGTGGGTGGAAAGAAAGGGTTAAGGCGGGAGCTGCAGAACAGCCCAGTGCAAGTATGTACGTGGCAGCAGAAGTGTCTGTGCCAAATCAAATCATAATCAAACCTAATCAAAATAATGCAAATATCCAACACAGACTGGTCCTTAAAAAGCATTGCTTATTCCTACTAATCTCTTTAGTTAAACCTGTTACTCTTGGAAGAGAAGTACAGTGAGAGGGACCCTCACAAAGGCAATCGAGGGGGAAAAAAAACCCCGGGGCCAGCTGTGCCTCTGCAGGCAGCTGGAAAGCACCATGGCTAGGGTGACAGCCCTTAGTATTTATCCCAGGCACATTTGTGCTGTTTATTCCTCTACTACATACACTTCCACTAGTAAAGCATTTGAAAGCTCTAGAAAGATGCAAAAGGCCAGTTGCACTCTAAAAACCTGGTGATACGGGGTGCCAGCTCCAGTCGCACACCCAAGCCTGTGCTACTGGACAGGAGTTTCTCAGGCACCAGTCGTACAGTTACTCGACTTGGAGCCCAGGTGAGATTTTTCACCTCTTGTGATCTTTTGGAAGGGATCACAGAGGGCACAACCCCTTTGTAGAACCTGTGTAACTCCATACCTTCCTAATTATGTTCTCAAATAGATATACAAACTCCCCCTCTTGTCCTCCAAATGACACCAGCACAACCCCATTAATTCCTAATTGCACCCAGGCGACAGCAGACCAGCCCATTTTCTGCTGAAGGTGATGGCTGCTCTAAAGGATGAAGATGTACGAGGAAAAACATCCCTTGCTCTCAGAAACGATTTCCTTGTCAAGACCAAGGGCTTTTAACTGTTTCACTGTCTTAAGTGACCTTCAGTGACCTGTGTGTATCACTTCAGATTTAGCTATTGCCATCTCCAAAATACCTCTGAGCAATCACACGCTTCGCTGTACTCTTTAAGGGATAAGACCTTTGGGAAGGTGCATTACATGGGGGAGGAAAGCTTGCTCAGCGCACACAGCGTCGGAGCATCGAGGCCAGCAACGACCGTGTGTGGCTTCTGGAGGCAGCGGGGGGGTCCCAGCTGGGTTAAAGCCACCTCTGGGTCCAGCTGTGTTGGGACTTGCTGCTTCGGTCCCTGCAGTGGTAGCTCTGCAGGGAAAGGTTTCCCTCATACAGAGATTGGAAAATCAGCCTCTGCACAGACACCTGCTGCATCACCTCCTCGTTCCTCTGCTGAAAACAGGACACAGTTTCACTATTGCTCTCTCCAGCAACATGCCTGATCCAGAGAGAGATACTGCCAGTAGCGGTTAGATAAAATGCAGTGCAAGCCAGATCTATCATCTACATGCTCAGCAATTTTTTTTTAAATTGAAAATACAAGTCTGATAATGCTTACGTCTCTCACCTGAGTATCTTGCCTATGCCCAACACAAGCCTTGAACTCAGATCACCTCCTAACCCCTTGTATCCAGCATTATTATAGAGTGGTTTTGCATTTCATTTATTTTTTCCCCTCAGGTAGAGGATGAGAGCAGCAGCCAACCCAGCTGGTTCTGGGCACCACTTACACACACCGCCGTAACGAATCCCAGCAGCGAGCCGGATACTCACAAGGGGTAAGAAAGTCAGCAGCGGCCGGACTCTCGGACGAGGTTTAAGTGTTGCTGTGCCAGAGTCGGTCATTGTCCCAAAGCGATTGTCACCATAGTACACTTCAATCACATCACCTGAGGGGAAGAGAAGACTGTTAGCAGCAGCACTGTGTTCGAGGCAACAGGAAAAACAACATTGGACACCACCTAATTTTAAAAAGCGCTGTGAAGAATTCGCTGTATCAGCTCCCAGGAATGGGCAAAACCCATCAGATTCTGATGAGTATCTGGGTGTTTTGGAGCTGAGTTGAAGATGGGAGGAGAAAGGTCCCAGGTGAGCAGGACCCCCAAGCAGGCACTGGCAGCCCTGGCGCACACCGGCAAGGTGCAGAGACCCCTCCCACAACTCCAGATGCTGGAGTTTAAAGAGCACAGATGTCAAGTCTATTCTGAAAGTCTTATTTTTAATAGTAGCTAACTGAAATGTACCTCAGGAGGGTCAAAAGTTAGCACAAGCACTCAATTCCCTCCCCACCCAGATTATGTTTAGGGAAGGAAAATGCTTCAGGAGGAACTGGGCAGCTCTTTATAGTGCTGCGAGGCTCCGACCCCCAGGAGAGCAGGAGGTGGGTCCAGGGCCCGCAGAGGTGACACAAACCAGCTCGTAAGCACAGGCAGGATCTGATCTTGGCCGATCCGTCAGCGGCTGGAATTGAGGGGGGAGGCAGCAGCAGAGTCTAACCACCAACCACACCAACTGGAGAGAGAGAGCTCCTGCCCTTCCTCACCTGCCGACCGCTCTGTGGGCAGAGCGGTTGCATCAAAGCACTGAGTTAATTACAGGTTCTTCACTCAGCCCTATCACAACAACAGGTCCCTGTCACTTATGCAGCGGAGAGGGACAGCGGAGGTGTCCTTGACCTCTGGCTGCCTGCTGGCAGTGGCACCATCCCTCGGGACTCCCTCTGGCTTGTGCCAAGCAGGACCAGTGCAAGCGGAGGGGAACGCTGCGCTCCACCACTCGGACACAGCGATGGAAATGGGGCACGCAGGGGCTTCCCAAGGAGGTTTTTTCCCCCCCCTCCGTGTTTCGCTGCCAGCGGCTGAGGGCAGTGGGAGGGAGGCAGCACAGCTGCTCTCCCTGCTGGGGGCGGACGCCACCAGTGCCCGCAGCATTCTTCTGCATGCTGCTGGAGCAATTTGTTTCTGACCCCTGATGCAACTGGCACTGGAGGACAAATGGTGCTTGCCACAACACTTTCACACTTCAGCCTGCCTTACAGAGAAATGCTCTGAACGTCTTCCCACAAAATACCACTCTGAATGGAGACGCTATGGCAGAAAGGCACAGTCCTGGTGTTACAAGCAGGAGAAGCCATCAGCTACTCCTGGTTCCCAGCCCTGTGCTTTTACCTTGAACCACACCTTTTGGGCTGGTTTATTTCTGACAGTGAATAAAGCTCATAAAATTAGTTTCATTATGTTCTTTGCGTCTGATTAACAGCATGAATTAACAAGCAGGAGCACTGAAGCATGTAAACCCCACCTTAGCTGGAAGGGGATACACAAATAATTCGTAGCCAAGGAGACCAACATTAAAGAAAATATGAGGGTTGGAGGAAGGAGGGGGAAAGTGAGCAAAATGGCTGTGATCAGAGAGAAAACGCTGCAGGAGTGTTCCCATCTAACAGATTTCGATAGTGGTTTCAGTGAGAAGGAAGAAGCAAACAGCCTCCCCCTCTGCACCAAAACACAAACACCAAGAAGTAAATAGCTTTTTTCCCCCCCCAAAAAAAAAAGTTTGGAAGCAGTCCTCACATCTGACCCCATGCTAAAGTGTGAAGCACAGAAACAGTTTCTGTCAAGTATCCTACAGCAATTAAAGGCCAAGGAGCAGAAAGGTGAAGGTTGTGTAAGCCCTGCACACAGGCAAAGGGGCTGGGCTGCATTTCTAAGCCTCCAAAACGTGAGTGCAGCGCACGCTGAAGCAGGACTGCCTGCCTGAGGAGCCCACTGCACCCCAGAGTCCCTGAGACTGTGCAAGCAACCGGCCTCTGCCACGGCCCCAGCCAGTGTCCCCGCTCCCTCTTGTGTCTCTGCTCCCGCACGGCCCCTCGCTGGCCCGAGGCAGAGCCTGTGCCCTCCATACGCTGCTGGACCCGGCTCGTGCAGGTGGAACCAATGCCCAGGGTCCCCAGCCCATCATAGACTGCCATGGCATGTAGTTGTGGTTGTCACTAAGTCTCCGCCCTCCTTGGACACGCAGATATCAGGCAAGACGCTCCCAAGGAAACAGCTTTACGCTGAGTTTAGTGGGGGAAAAAAAAAAAAAAAAAAAAGAGGCTGGCAAATGCTTGTGTGTGCATTCCCACAGAAGAAAAGCACTTGCATGAACACCTGGAATGAAGAACCTGACCATGCCAGGGGCCAGGCATGAGCTACCACAGCCTCTGCCTAAGTTATGGGTTTGGAGGCAGATGAATTCCGCATAACCTTGAGACATGCCACCGAGACCAGCAAGCCTGTAAGCTTTTCCTTTCTCCCACCCGCTACACCACAAGTTACCCTGGGATACACCCAGGAGTATCCATCATCCTATCACTGTCCTTACGGTCAGTCATGACTTCCTTTCCCTTATCCCAAACTTCTGCCACTACAAGGGATTCTTTACTAAAACAACATTTTCTTCAGCTTTCAAAATACTAATCAGCCTGCACTTCAGTTAGTGTGGCCTTACCAACAGTTTAACACTTCCCTGCCTGTGAGGGGCCCAAGCACAAAGGAGGAGCTGCTGGAGTCCCAAGGACAGCAGATGCCAGCAAATTATTATTATTTTTGCATAACACCTTGGGTGACCCCACACTCAGCGAGTAAGCAGCAAGAATTAAGGCCAGTGCAACAGGAGAGTTTGGATTCAGACAGCTTTGTGGAACAGCGATAGAGTAGTTCAGAGACTTGAAATGACAACAGTTTTACATTAAACAAGACACTAGGTAAACTCAGTGAGAAACTGGTTTAAAGATCACAAGGTCTTTGATCCTAGATTACTAAGCATCGCTAACCTGCATGCATTTAATTAAAGTAAAATGAAGTGCTTGTAGTTGTGTTTTCTTTGCTCGATAAACAGGACTTGCCTGCTAAGAGCCTGTCACCAGTAAGACCTGTGCTCCGCCAGCTTCGTTTCCTGGAAGGAGGGATCAGGAAACATGCCTTCAGAAGCGGCTGGCCCCGACTACGCTTTGGCCACTTTTTGGCATTCAACCTCTTCTGGAGACGTTTATGTCCTCTCAGTCATGGGAAATAAAATAAGCAATCTGCAACACAGGTAATGGAACTTCTTCCTACTTCGGGGTTGCGTCACCTGGAGTAGGTGTAGCAGGTTTGACACTGGGGTACCCACAGCTCACAGCGAGGAGGTGGCATCAGTCACTGTATTCAGGAATCTCTGAGTCAGTGACATGCAAACCTACACCCATTCCGCATTGCTTAACTTGTGTTTACTTTTATGAAAAACTAAGGTGGGGATTAGCAGAAGCCGTGGACTCCTTTTGGCAGCAGCGATGGCATGAAGCTACGCAGCAAATAATCAAGAGACGGGCCAGGGATGGGGCTTCATTGGGTAAGACCGTGGCACTGTGGAAGTCAGGATACGATAAAGTCTGTCCCTTGGACTGCTTAGCTGTAAGCATGCCGTTCCTCATCACGAGCCCACACCTCAGCACACGTTACTCCAAACATGGTCACTCAGCTTCTGTGTGTCACGCTACCCCACACAAATTAAATTAATGATATAAATGCCAAGAGGATGCTAAGGAGTAATTCAACAGCCTTTATTTATGCTCAGATTTCAAGGACTCCTGGCTTTTACTTTGCAAGCTGATCCAGGCAGCAGCTCCCCACACCTGAAAGGAATGCCTTTGTACTGCAATTGCAGCCACGGAAATCAGGCTTGTAATAAGCAGAGACAGCGACTTTTTTTGTTTTTTTGAATCCAAACCACATCAGACGGAGGCTTGAATCCTCCCCAGATTTATGACAGTTAGAAATCAGCAATTCTCCTTTTGTGTTTAAGAGTTGCATGAAACTCTCCGTCACATTTTCATTTTATCTTAGTTTCACCAGCTTGGCCTCCAGGGTGTAACCACCTTGCAATAGCTTTAATGGACACCGCTTCACATCGCACAGCTCAGCAAGCAGCGCTTCCATTTTTAAGCTTGTTTATTGGAATCTTACAGCCACCAAACTTCATCCACAAACTGCTATCTTTTATCTACCTGGCTCCATTACTATTAATTTGGCTCCCTCCTACATAAGCCTCCAGGGCACAGTATTGCAATTAAAACCACAAAGAAATACAAATAAATCCTGAGGAACACGCAACCCTCGACTCCCCCTTTGCACACAGTCCTCCAAGAAACAGGTTTACCAGTAAATAACTAAGACCTGGGAAGGAGCAGATCAAACATGGCGTGGGAAAGAGCTACTGGAAGCAATAAAACAGAGTCTCAATTATTCATCAGCCGGCTTTAGTCAAGTTTAACTTCCCGGAGCGGACTACGGCCCCGCGAGAGCAGCCTTCGCGCCCTCCTCAGCGGCTCGGGGGCTTTGCTCCAGCTGCGAGCCCGCAGGAACGCAGGTTTAAACTCGCACTTTTGTGACCCAGCCCAAGCCAACGCCTCCCGGAGTTGCCCAACCGGGCGGTGGATGAGCCACCGCCGCTCCCCGGCCCCGTCCGACCCCCTCGCCCGCCGCG